ACATAGACCAACGACACATAGCAACGACACATCTACACGTTAGAGTTCTACGTATTTTTGAAACAAATGGAACCCCATATTTTAAAAACAGGGGGGAAGATGATAAATGTATTCGGTTTCAATTTTCTCCGGAAGAGCTGAGCTGAGAATGGGAAAACGTGAATTTCATTGACAAACCAATGAAAAGGAGGCCACAAATAGCAACAGATGACGTCGCATGTGACGCACACACCGTTGCAACGTCAAATGTCGTCCCCCTCCTCCCACTCGCTCGTGCCATGCGCACTGGCTGTTGTTGTTGTTGTCKTTTGAGCTAGTTGTTATGGCTGGTCGAGGCCTCGGAGTCAACTGAGAGAGGAGGTCCGCACCACCCAGCCTCCGCCACGGGACACCCGTCACCCATGGAGGGCACGGACATGGACGTGGACGCGGAGCTGATGCAGAAGTTCAGCTGCATGGGCACCACGGACAAGGACGTGCTCATATCGGAGTTCCAGAGGCTGCTGGGCTTCCAGCTGAATCCCGCCGGCTGCGCCTTCTTTCTGGACATGACCAACTGGTGAGGCCGCGGATTCTGGAAGGGCCTATTTTTGACCAGGAACATGACGCTAACCTGCTAGCTCCGTGGTTGCTATTTTAAAATGAAAAAAAGCAGAATGGAGGTAGTCATATATACGGTATTAAATATTGTTCAAATGGATCGTTTTGTCGGGTAATTACGGTAAAAAGCTGCTGTGAACTGAATGTGAGGCTAACTAAGTTTCTTCTGACTTCGAGCTCGGTCAAATAAAGCAAAAAATAAAAATAAAAAGTTGGAACGGAAACTTACAAGCAAACCTAAACTATACAACGGATCTCTGGGTTTATATTTATATTTTTCTACATTATATAATTACTTAAAAAGCTAGTTCAGGTGAGCTCAGACGCTTCTTCTCTCAGTAGCGCCAGTTCTGTATGGCAAGCCAGCAAATCATTTAAACATGTACATTACCAAAGATTGTTAAAACGAACACTTCGACTATACAGAATGTAATTTGTCCCTATCACAGTCAACATTTTAGATAAACAATACTTTTTCTCATCTTATCTCGAAGGCAGAACCAGTTGTGATCTGCCAACAGCTAAAAAAATGTAATCTTGATCAAGTTGTGTTGTGTTGGTAAATATCTGATTATATTCCTTCAGAAGGGCAGCAATTTAAAGCTTTGAGCATCAAAATTTGAATAAAACCCACATATAATGTTTCTTGTTATAGGGCTTAAATTCAGAACTGGAAATCAGAGCTGACTGTGGTTGAATCAAGGTTCCTGAGCTTTAAGGATGTTGAAAAAATGCCACACATGGACCCAAGTCTCACATGGTTTGTGACCAGTGTATTTAACAAGTTATCAAAGCCATTTTCAGCACAAGATTACACCAACAAACTAACAGAGCATCGGTAGGTAATCTGAAGGAAATCAATATACTGGTGGACTTTGTTATGGTCCCTCTTCAAGTCAACTGGTTAGTCAAGTTGCAACAAAATCCAGTGCAGAAAGAGAAAAAACTTTTTGGACTATGTCTAAAAAAGAAAAGTAATTTTTATTAGATGAGGCAGAAAAAAAACACCTGATTTACAAATTAGTTGTCATTTATCACGCAAAATATTACAATAGCAAAGTCCTTCCTGCAGCTTTGACAGACCGTCCTCTAGGTGCTTGCTCATGTTGCAACATTAGAAAAGAGTCACTCATGGCCTGGTGTTTGTTGGATTTTGTTGACCGTTGATAACAGCTATTGTTTGTTTTACGACGGAACAGGAACCTGCAGGCTGCTATTGGTGCATATTATGACTTTGAAAGCCCCAGCGTCAACACRCCATCCATGTCCTTTGTGGAAGATGTTACAATTGGCGAGGGAGAGTCCGTTCCTCCAGATACGCTGTTCACAAAAACCTGGAGAATACAAAACACRGGTACGTCTCACTAGGTCGACCTGTACGCTTCAATAAAGAAGCTTTAATAGTTGTAATGTTTTCTTCACTTTGCTTTAATTGTAGGTGCGGAGTCATGGCCGCCAGGGGTTTGTCTCAAGTACATCGGTGGGGATCAGTTTGGGCATGTAAATGCAGTTATGGTGAAGTCTTTAGATCCACAGGAAATCTCAGATGTGAGTGTGCAGATGAGAAGTCCCACTAACCCAGGCATGTATCAGGGTCAGTGGAGGATGTGTACAGCTGCTGGATTATTCTATGGAGGTATGGGGAAAAAAAACATGATTCTTTTTATGTCTAGTTTTGTTTATGTAGCAAAAACAAACAGTACTTTTTTGTTTTTGGCTCTTTGTATATAGCTGTGCTGTCCCGTGTTTGTTCACGATTCGTTTTTCCGCAGATGTAATCTGGGTGATTCTCAGCGTAGAGGTCGGAGGTCTCCTCGGCGTGACGCAGCAGCTTTCTTCCTTTGAGACAGAATTCAACACGCAACCCCAGCGCAGCGTACAAGAAGACTTCAACCCCTTTGCTTCGCCACAGAAGAACAAGCACGATGCCACGGACAACGGCTTCAGAGATCCAGAGGAAGCCTGGGAACGCACACAAGAGCCACTTCAGCAGGATCAGAATGGACTGTCTCATAATGCTGTAAATAGGACCTCAAATGGTCTCCAAACCAATCTTTCCATGGTGACTTATGGCCAGGTATGTATGCACAAATAAGTGGTTTTTGTTAAGTGTGACTATTCATGGTCTAATTTTAGTTAAAGTGTGCACGAAGGAGCGTGTTTGTGCTTCACTTCAGCAAACTTTTCCACCTGAAAACATGTCAGGAGAAGCCAGTCGTGAGTTTTATTWAGTGTTTTGTAGCTGATTGTGGGGAATCAGATATTCTGCTTTAAAAATAATAACGCTCCTCCCAGTAAATATTTCAAAAACAGGATTATAAACTAGGCTGTGTATTGGCAAGAACTTGGTGATATGATACATATCATGACACGGGTCACGATATGATATAACACAATATATTTTGATACTATAAACAAGAGGATTCATGAAACAATTCATCCGTTAAAAATAGAAACCGTTCAACTACTCAGCGATTATTTGTGTTGCGCAATGCTATAGCTAACGGCTACACTGTTGATGCATGAAGTGATATATTTAGCTGTGAAGGGAGACAAGAAGTCCCAAAACGAAGCGCCCAGAACACGACAAAATTTGTCCAAAATGTGAGAACATTTTAAATGAAACTGAAAATGCCACACACAGAGCAGTGCAYGTCCTAGATGGAGCAGCACCAGAACAGAAAACAGCTGCTGCATGCTAAAAACACCTCCGGAGTTGCCCGCAGGTATCGTTTACGTTCCCTTTGCAAAATACGTTTTCCTAWATCTGATAATCTGTCATGTTACAAATGTACACGGAGGTATATTTTGGCAAATGCTACATTTACTGACTAATCAAAGTGGGTGCCTAGCAGGTTATTATTTAACAGTATGTAAGCTGTGTGATTACAAACAGCTGGTGTATTAATTTTACTTGGATTGCAGCAGTCTCATTAAATCTGATTAGATTCAGTGTATTTTCATACAATCAAAAGAACACTGAACAACAGTGAGAACTGCATTTGTATTTCACATTTTTTCTTACAACAATATCCGTTACACATCAGTTAAAAATCGATTCAGTTTCAGGAAATGAAAAACTGATATTTCAGTGTACCATTATTTTCGTACGCCCCTATAATGATCTTAGTTAAAGTCTGTTACCATCTTTATTGGCAGCTGCCCCCCCTCAGGGCCTTTTGACTTCTTTACTGTTCTTTAACAATAATGCATTTCAAAATTTAAAGAGAAGTCTTCTAAAATAGTAATTTAAAAGCTATATTGGGGCCCTATAAAATCCATTTTATTTTTTTCCAAATTCCATTTTAGTATTTCCTAAATCCACTTTTTCCATTTTTTCTCCTGAATTCCACATTTTTATTGTAACCATATTTATTAACCTAAAAAGTGCATAAATATAAAGTGATTGAACAATAATTAAACACATAAATAGCCACGGAAATAAGAAAAAAGTCTGTTATTTCACTTTCACTAATATCGCAAATAACGGCGTTTCAGTAGAACATTAAATTTTTTTGAAAGGTTTTTAAAAGTATTTAATAAGGAAAAATACATTGTGTAAAAGAGAATGTCACATAATAAAGATATGTTTTGCAAAATAAATTTGTTTAGAATTTAACTTAAAGAAACAAGTCATAAAGAAACATAAAACCTACAAACAGCAACTGAATAGGATCTAAGCTCATTTACTTCTGTAATGGACACACACACACACTGTTTACATTATCAAAAAAAAAAGTTTTTCATTTTTTTCTAAGGAATATCTGATTCTGCACACAACAACATAATCTTGGGTAAACTCCCAGCTCGCTGCTCCTCTGTCTGTGACRCAGACAGGAAGTGGTCTTCACAGCRTCCRGYCCATCGTGTGCTGACAAAACTTACAGGAAAGTTCTTCTCCAGATAAATAAATAACCGCTGGGGTCTTGYTCTGTCCTAAACGTTACCCYAAGCTTCRTATTTTTGGAGGACTTCTGTTGCTCGCCGCTTGGGTCGGGGTCGCCCCCCATGTCAGGAGGGGAGCTCAGAGCTCACCCCATGTGCCTGTTAGCAGGTAAYGGCAGGTACAGGGAGCAACAGTGGCCAAAATACCTCAGAAACTCACCCAAATAAGCAAATTCCGTGCGATTCCACGTCTTACACCGGATTCCATTTTGTTTGGTCAATTCCACGATTCCATCCACGTTTTCCGCATCGCGGAAATTATCGAGCCCTACTATATAAACTAATAAAAACAAATAATATTCATATTAGTTTTCTGTAATCAAGCCATTCTAAATTGTATCTTTCATTCTGCACCCAGACTATAAAGTAATACTCTTTGTATCTTTTTTGTTTGTTTGTTTTTTTCCAGGGTATTCATGGTCCGTATCCATTTGACCAGAGCTAGAATGACAAAGACCCCCTCCTCCACACCCTGAGAGAGTTGGATGGGGGGGGAAAGAACAGTTGTTTTATATTGACTCATGGCAACTCTGTCCTGCAAACCCCCACGGAGCTTTTCACAGAAACTCCAGTCGACAGTAAGCTGATGGATCACGTGTGCCACAGAGAAACATGGAGTCGCATGAATGAGGCATTTAAAGAGTGCTATAAACCTTTAAAGACAGCTACATGTGACTATTTTTTTTTCACTGTAAAACTTGCCTAATTGAAGAGAAAATCATCCTAAACTTTCAGCATAATTTGGAATTTCTGTGAGCAACTTTCTTTCTTTGAGGTTCCTACCCAAATCTGAAATATTTTGAAATAACTCACATTGTTCAAAAAAAGCAATAGTCATATTTTCTTTCAGCCTTAAATAGTTCTTAAACAGATTGAAACAATGAACTCCCTTTTTTTTTGTTGTAAACGTTTATTTTTACTGTTGTGAAGTCCTTTAACAGCCTTACATTATGACAAGTCTGACTTGTTTAAGACGGCTCTTTAAAAATGTTTTAAACATTATTACTATTATTATTATTATTACATTTTGAGAGCTATACATAAAAGTTGACTCGTGAGGAAATCTGTTTTGCAGCGCTAAAGAAATATCCACATCCATCATTTGTGGATATGATTTAAATTTTAAATCATATGTTGGTGATACAGTTTGTGATCAAACTTTATTATTGATTTATTTGTATTATTACTTTTCTTTGTTAGGTCTTGTTTAATTGCACATCTTAGATTGTATTTCAGGTATTAAAGACTTAGTGCCCATTTTAAAACAGAATTAGATAATTTAGGATTTAAAGTCAGGCGTTTTTTGTAAAATAARTCAACAAAAGTTGTGCCAAGACGTTTACCGAACTTTGATAAACTGTAACGTTACTGCACGGAGTTCTTCGTTTCGGACTCAAAATGTGCAGCTTTAAGCTTTTTATGAGACTAAATCAAGTGGTCGCTCATCAAACCGTACAGACCTGTTAGCTTTAGTCTGAATGGAGTTATTTTTATAAAACACAAACAATGAAATGACCTGAATACTTGCTTATCTGAGGAAAAATATCAACCAGTAACGTAAAACTGAAGCTGCAACACTAAACTTGTGCTTATCATTTTTCTTCAAAATTATTTAAAAAAAAGATCAAATTCAACTGTTGATATTGTCAGTTCTTGTGTAGGAACCCCGTTTCTCCCAAAGAAACAAACGACTCCAGAGAGCGAGACACTAACCTGTCTGCAGGTGCCCGGTTCAGACGGCCTGAGAACCACGTGCATTTTTAGAGTCGGGTCTGATTCAGACCTGATGGGACCGGGTGCTTTTTTATAGGATGGGTTTTCACTTTAAAGAAGTGCTGAAACACAACAACGATGCGAGTGAGTTTTTTTTTTTTTCTGAGCGGCGTGAGAAAGGGTTGAAAAAGCCATCTGAGTCTTGGTTGTCTGGTGAGCGACTGTGGTTGTGTTCATGTCTACAGTTTGTGTCCTAAAATGTAAAAAGAAGACGTTTGTGCGAGCGTGCCTGTTGCGTGTGCATGAACGTGTTTTTATTTTGTTTTTGTTTTTTTTGAACTGACATAAAAAGGTGTATACTACTTGGGTTAAAGATGACTTGAAACATACACATCATGCAGGAGAGCTTTAATCGGCGTGTACCTCACAAGTATTTCTGAGTGTTTTTTTTTTTTTTGCGTCGTCCGGATGAAGTGATTTAACAGTTACCCTGATATTTATTTGCTGTTTTTTTTTCTCTCTGTGCACTGCAGAGTCGAAGTGCTCCCATTAACTGCCAGTAGGTGGTGCTAAAATTCTGATGACAAAGTTATGCTGCAGGAGAAAAAGTTTTGAGTGAGAAGCTGGTAGAACGGTCTGAATGTGAGAGTCATTGGTTTGCATCGGCAGCATTGTTAGCAGTGTTCTGTTGAATGCTATTTGCACTATCTTGTCAACCGCGTTTGGTGAGGAAAAACGAGATTTGTTTTATTTTTTTCTTTTGCTTTTTGTGGATTGTGACACCAGCATTTAAAAAAAAAATCTGTGGGTTTGATTCGTTTGTTCCTCAGCGTCTGAACATTCAGATTTGAAACATCTGTTTGACGGTGACAGAAATGTTAAAACGAGGATTATTTTACCGATTTTTTTGTATTTTGATCACTTGAATGAGTTTGTCTGCCGTTACACCTGAAGATCAGCTTTGCATTGTTCGTTATGTCTGACTGTAATTTTCATGTTTTTTGTTTGTTTGTTTGTTTTTTTCTTTCTTGGCTTAAAATAAAAATGGAACAAGTTATTGATAGAACTTTGTGGTTCTTTTTGTCTCAAGAAGTGTTCAAACCAAATTATGTGTAATTTTGTTTGTTTGTCGTTTCCTCCAAGTTCTGTTAATCAAGAGCATGTGAAGTTTGTCTCTCTGTTGTCGTGCGAACGTATTATGAAGCAGCAGTTGGTGTTGCGGCGGTGTTGTGTTTGTGTTGAGAGTCCTCTTCCCAAACAGTATACACTGTTCTTCGTTGCCTCTTTTACTCCCAACGTTTTGATCGATTGCTTTGTGTGTCTGCTTCCCTGCTCTGGGATTGCTGGTCATGTGACGGATGTTAAAATAGTTTTAAAAATTGCTGTTTTTTTTTTTTTTACGTTTACATGGATTTGTGATGGGTGGCATGGTGAGTGGATGAGATGAAAGTTTACATAGTCCTTAAAAATTAGCACATTTATCTGAAGAGGAATTGTCAAAACAAAGCTTTTTTTCTGTATCTTTAGTTAAGCATTTTTATGATTAAATTAACACTGAAACGATGACTGAGTTCTTTCTTATTCTTTTTTAGGAGAACATTTTGCAGGATCTGTTTTCTTGTTTTGTTACTGTTCTTTTATTCCCCCACTTCAGTAGAAAGCTGAACTGAATATTAGTTTCTTAATTTCTTCGTCATCAGTGACTTTTTTTAAGAAGAAAAAGAAAGTGAAGAAAAAAGTGAAATGTATTGGGAAAGAGTGAAAGAGGGATTAGAAGATGTGTGAAATATATATCGAGAAAAGACAAGACAGCACACCCGACATCTTGGCTGCACACATACAGAAACAGAGATATCAAACACAGCAACAACAATGCATTTATATATATATATAATAATGATTATAACCTTGCTGAAAGGTATCTATCTATCTATCTACTGTATCTATCTAGCGGATAAAATAAGTATTGAACATGTCACCATTTTTCTCAGTAAATATATTACTAGAGGTGCTAATGACATGAAATTTTCACCAGATGTCGGTAACAACCCAAGTGATCCATACAT